TTCAAAGATCGATAAGGCTTACCACCTACAGGTGGTGCACCTTGTGGGGCTTACTATTTTTCTAAGGGCAAAAATCGTCCTCTACACGATGGTAAAAATCGTAGATCGCTAGGACTTTTCCATAAAAGGTTATTTGAAAAACGCCACTCTGCACTGTATTTATGGATCGATAGTAGTTCAAATTGGGTCGACAACATTACTACTTTAGTAGTCGATCTGGAGCCTACAACCGATACATGTGAATATTACTTTTCGAATGTGAAATCATTAAGATTACGGAGAAACTTTACTTATCCTTCTCTAAATACAAAACATATACGATCGCTTAAAATGATTATTAATTTATGTAATTTAAATCATCTTGTTATTTCATCCGTATCACCATCAAAATTATTACAACTACTTCAAGAAGCACCAAACATATCATCGTTAAAAACTGATAAGACTACTTTGTTTCGTTTATGTAACAATCGACAACTATGCACATACCTTAACAAAATGATCTCAGAATTAGATATTACTGATACTATATATCCTTCAATCCTGAATATGAATGAAATCGTTGCGCAATTTATACAACCTTTTCATCGTCAGGAATCGCTGCACTCATGAACGCTTAGGCACATAGATCATTAAAATGTTTAATCCTTTCTCTATCAACCGTAGAATAATCTATTCTTGACAGTAATAGACTCTTTTTGATCAACCGCAGAATAATCTACCCTTGTGTACCAGTCAAAAGCGCTTTTCATCGTCATAAATCCTTGTACTGGTAAACCCTCCGGATTTATTATTATGCGCTGTTTTTTAACCGCGTCTCTTTTCGTCCTTGCTTTTTGTTACGGATATCTGACAGAGTAGTCCGTTCCGAACTCCTATTTTTTTGAAAAAGTCTGGATGTTGAGAATGAAAGTCCTCTGAGTGTTGGTAACAGCATGAGCTAAGGCTGTTTTTCGGCTGGTGTTTGAATAGCTTTTGTTGGTGATGTAGTAGAACTGAAATAAATAAGAAGAAGAAAATAAAAGCATGAGAACTTTGAAGCGAAGATCGGTGTATTGTTCAGACGCTCGTAATGACCTTCTGGCATTAGAAGGTGGCAGCTACTTCAGGAAAGAAAGGAAAGTTCTTGCAGCTCAGATGTGAGTTAAGATCTTCAGTACATTTCGTGGCAAATCCTTTTACTTGCCCAAAAGCACAAAAAAGGCGTACACTTGCTAATAAAAAGCGAACACTCACTCAGCTAACATCATTGTCATCATCTTGTTTTCGTTTCTTTCCAACTAATGAACTGCTGGTTGAAGATTTCTGAGAATTACCAGCCAATTGCTTTGCACCAACACCGACTGTTCTTGGACGTAGACGATTTAATTTTGGTGTTAATCGTGTATTATTAGCCACTGATTCTGAGATGGCTTCAGCATCGTCGTCGATTGAGAATCGTTGCACTCGATGATTCCACTTGTCGATGACATAGAGATTGCCATGTCGGTCGAATGACAAACCTGCTGGGTAGTGCAACCGGTTGGCTTGTTTTCCTTCACCGTTTCCGCCAACAATGACATCTCCCTGTTCAGCTCCTTTGCATCAACGCATCGCCCGATGATTCCAAGTGTCAACCACATAGACTGTGCCCAACGGATCGACGAACATTCCTTGAGGATAGTTCAGTTGTGTCAAATCGTTCCCTTCTCCTCGACCACCAGCCACGACAATCGCTTCTGTCGCACCTTTCATCAACTTCATTACACGATGATTTTTGTAGTCCGACACGTATATTAGCTCCACTGATAAAAATGGAAAATCTTCAATTATTTGATCCCTCGCACCAGATCTGACAGGCCGATGTATTTTTTTCTCTTGTCGTATGCCGTTATTGCGTATTTGTTTCACCTGTTTTGAAAAGAAACGTGTACAAAGTTTGGCTGTTCCGTTAATTCTATTTTAGAAAGACAACCGTTATCGCTACAGAAGGACAAAAATATTCTTTTGCTTTTATCCACTTAAGTCACCTTTCTTTTTTAATCAGTATCAGCTATAAAAACTTACAGAGAACTCGTTTTTCAATCTAAACCGATGAGCGAGTAACGCAGAAATTTTTCATATACATTACACCGATTGCATACATAAACTTAGAGTTTTGTGCAGTTACCTCTCACTAAGTAAGATCTTTTATTGTTAACCTTAATACGAGGCTGAAACAGAGTGGGTTTATCCCAGTAGAAGAACAAATATTTTATTCAAGTTTCAAATGGCTGCTGCATCAAAAGCTAAATGTGCGAAATGCGAGAAAAATTCTGGTATACTCACATGCGATGGCTGTTTAGAAAGGTTGTGCCGACGATGTTTCAATAATCATCGTCAAGATTTGTCAAAACAACTCGACAATGTTGTTTACGAACACGATATGCTCAAACAGCAGCTCGAAACGCCAAACGAAAATGACTCACATCGTTTGTTGAAACAAATTGATAGATGGAAGAAAGACTCTATCGGTAAAATTAATCAACTCGCTGATCAATGTCGGACTGATGTTCTTAAGTTGCTAGATAAAACCAAGGACCGGCTTATAGATAGATTTCTCAAAATAACGAACGGAGTTCGTAAAGGTAGAGACGATGAAGATTATGATGAACGAGATCTCAGCAAGTGGATGGATAACTTAAAAGAATTAAAAAATGAACTCATCGAACCATCGAACTTCCGTGTCGAAGAGGATAAACAACAATCTTCTTGGATTCAAAAGATCAGAGTACACGACGATTTTCGCGATCAAGCAAAAGCAAAAGATGGTAACTTATGATTGCACCTAGTTTACCTTTGTCGACAGAGAGATTTAAGAGTCTGCAAGGACGTAAATATCCTATTTTTGTGAAGCTGAGTCAGATCTTACCGACTTTTCCACATATATTAAAACAAATTTTGACGCAGATTATTTTTCTTGAGGGAGAATTAGACTTAACAGCTAGCAACTTCACCTATTACCGTACCGTAATCAAGCAGCCTAACTATAGTAGATCACGCAAAGAATGTTCACCAAAATATCAAATAGTTCTTTGACCAAGACGGGATTGTGAAGTTGGTAGTAAAGTATGATTTGAAAAACTCCACACAGTATTCATGTTAGAGAAATAAAGACTTCGCATGTATGCCTTCAAGCTCCATTTGTTCTTCAGGTTATTCAAAGCCACAATTCGCACCGTTATCCAGCCAACCAACAGTTGAAACGCAATTAAAAAAGTCAAGTGTATCGGAAACCTATCCGACAAAACTACCCAAGAAAGACAACGAACTTATAGAAAAATTAAGGTGTAATGACACAACAACTCTCACTATTGGCAGCAACAATATATCAGCTGATGGGATAAAAGCAATTGCAGAAGCCTTGAAAACAAACCAAACATTAGCAGTTCTTGGTATTGAGAACAATAATATATCAGAGGCAGGGGCAAAAGCAATTGCAGAAGCCTTGAAAACAAACCAAACATTAACAGGTCTTGGTATTGAGAACAACAATATATCAGATGCAGGAGCAAAAGCAATTGCAGAAGCCTTGAAAACAAACCAAACATTAACAGATCTTGATATGCCGAACAACAATATATCAGAGGCAGGAGCAAAAGCAATTGCAGAAGCCTTGAAAACAAACCAAACATTAACAGGTCTTTATATGCCGAACAATAATATATCAGATGCAGGGGCAAAAGCAATTGCAGAAGCCTTGAAAACAAACCAAACATTAACACGTCTTCATATGGCGAACAACAATATATCAGAGGCGGGGGCAAAAGCAATTACAGAAGCCTTGAAAATAAATCAAACATTAACATATCTTGACGTTCAAACCAATAATATATCAGATGCAGGGGCAAAAGCAATTGCAAAAGCCGTGAAAAAGTATAACATTATTAGTGCACTGAATCTGTTAATGGGAGACAGCGGCGGCGGACACCGGTCTTGGGAGTCGTAGGAAATCCGGTACAATGTTCGAACCGCGGATAAGCACACCCCTGCTCGACTCCCACTTTGAAGAGCACACCCCGGGCGATCAACCCGTGGGAAAAATAATACAACTCTATTGGGAAATGTTTACAGACGATCTACTTTTCCAAAGATCTCTTAGAAAATCTCTTTCAGAAAACTCATCTGAAAACAAATTTGATTATGCAACCTTATCCAAGTATAACAGAGGCACATGAACATTTTTACAAGTTTGAATGTGGGTGAAACTTGGAAAAAGTTGGAATTCCTTACACCTAGCATACCTCTTAGAAAGATTAGTGAGCTTGAAAATTAATTGTACTTCTCCACGTATATAGGTCCAAGCTGACAAATGTGAGCACTTATCGACAGTTGTAAATTAAGAATATGCCCCGTTTTCTCTTGTAACTTTGTTAAATTTCGTAAAAGGTGGGCTATTTCTCAAGCACTTTTATTTTTCCAGCTAAATTTTTGCTATATGTTTTTCATTTACATACCGCACCGTTGCCCGATATAAACGATTGAAGACCGGAGCTTAGAACTATTCTTGGTGATTTTCCTCCTTGATGTCGTGTTCTTGTTTACTTCATAGCAGCATTTGTTTTGGTGAACGCTTTCCTCCCAAGACTTTTGGTGGAAAACGTCGAATGGAAAAATGCCGAAAAAGGAAAATATCGATAAGAAAAGAGAAATACGTCTAAAAGGAAAAGATTCCTTTCTGTTCCTTGAAAATCACCGAAAGAGACATAGGTATTTTTATCATTAAGGTTCTCGTCAGACTACACGGTAATGTCGGGAATTATTTATAGAAAATGCTCGACGATTTTCAAATAGTCCATATATAAATTCTCTGAGGATTTTCTAGATTCTAGAAAATTGAATTTACAAGAAACTTGAAAATTCGACCCTGTATTTCCAGAATTCTAGATTGAGGTCGATTTTCTATAAATAATTCCCAAGGCTCTCGGAATTCAAAGCCGATTTTCCAATATTTTAGAAATTCGATGTGGACTTTCAAGACTCTTGAGAATTATTTATTTATTTATCTAGAATATTATAAAATCAATACCGAATTTTCATATTTTTTGAAATTCTACGACGATGTTCTGAATAAAATGAAAAGTCAATTTATAGAAAACAGAAAACCAGAAATTCGACAGGATTTTTTTAAAGTGAGAAAATCGCCGGCAATTTTCCATACCGATTTTCTATAAATCAGAAATGAATTCCAAATCACAGTGTAGTACAGCTTCCTCAACCTCTTAGCAATTATAGTCACTCATTGAAAAAGTAAACTATGATGAAGTTCAGAATGGCTGCAACGGTGACCGTCTCACGCCAACCACACGCTTAACGCATCACTATACAACTTGCTGCTGAAGCATCGACTCCAAAGCAATCAGAAAATACAACAGCTTTTTAACAATGATTTGACACACTCAAAGGATGATTTCTGGATAGAGAAATGAATGCAGCACAGCTGCTGGCTGAATTATCGTTCGTGATCAGGAGATACAAAAAATTGGATCACTTCAGTTAGATCACTCATTTTTCTTCTGCTCTCGTTCGCTGTATGGTTTAATAAAATATCTCTTTCAGCGAGTTTCATGGAACAGAAAGTAATCTTTTTCTTTTCGACATTTTCTTTCTTCCCATTATTCGCTTTCGATGGTTTCCTTTTCGATATTTTGCTCGTCTGAGCAATTTTCTTCTTCATTTTCTTCTTTGAGATAGTAATGCAATGACTTTGCATGAAAATAATGCAAATGGCACACCAGTTCCAGCGTGGCCCAGAAAATTTTTAATTTCTGGCAGTACGATACTCATTTGACGATAACTATCATTAATTCTTGATAATGGAAATTGTTTGTTGAATATATTTAACAGTTTACGCCATCCATCAATATCTATATCATTATTTTGTTCTAATAGCCTTAAAAGACTCAATATTTTAATTTCATAAAGCTTTCTTTCCTTTCGTATGTATTCGAAATTTTTGCGTTACGCGATCCTGCCGCGAATTTTAAAGAGACTCGCGTCGCGACATGCGATAAGAAAGTGGACTTGAGTCCTTCATGCCGCCAATACATGAGTCAATACCGAGTAATAATTGGTCGGTATATCGACTAAATAGCTATCCTGATCAGTGTACGAATAGCTAGCTACCACAAGCCGATATTGCCTGATAACATATTTTCATAGCCATATGTTCTCAAAAGCATTTTTTTTGGTTGGGCAGAGGAACAGACAACAACATTACAGAACAAATCGGGAGAAAAAATTAAGAAAATAACAGAATCTGTTTTGGAGTATGATGAAGTTCGCTTTTTCGATGCATTTTTATTTATCTCTCAATTCATTCGATTTATGAATGTCCCCTAGAGATCCGATTTTAAAACAGATTCGTATAATTTTTCTATATGAATCTTATAAGAATCTTATAGAAATCTTATATGCTTCAATCGAGAGAAATGCATACTGTGGTTATAAGATTCTTATGTAAGAAATTTATAGGATTCCTATAAGATTCTTATAGTCAAACAATAAGAAAAAAAAAAAACTTTTTTGGTGTCTGTAGGACGAGGGCAAAGTTTTGAACTTTGAAATTTTTGAACATTTTTTATAAGGCACTATAAGATTATAAGAATCTTATAAAAAAATTATAAGCTAAAATCTTAACAAAATCTTATTCAATTCGTATAAGAATCTTATAGTTACACGTATGCATTTCTCTCGACTGCAGCATATAAGATTTTCGTAAGATTCCTGTAAGATTTTTATCTGATTTCCGTAAGATTTTTATCCGATTTCCGTAAGATTTTTATCTGATTTCCGTAAGATTTTTATCTGATTTCCGTACTTTTGATTGCCTAGGGTCTTAACAATATCGACGATGGAAGAAATGAATTTTGTATTTAGATGACTAATTACAAGTTAGTGCTATGTTTTCATGCTCCTTCACAAATATAAAAGTCGCGAAGATCACGAATAAAAGATAGTTTATATCACGTGTAAACAATTGTTAAAAGATAACATAAGGATACAAAAAAAGGGATAGGTTAGCATTCGTTGCTACATACTTTGATGTGAGAGCGAGTGACTATTTTATTTGTCGACGAGTTAGAAGTAAAAAATACGAGTTCAGGTCAAAATACTGGTAAATAAGTAAAAATAAAAGTTTGCTACTGTGAGGGTAAGATTGTTTAAAAATAACGATGTTGCAAATCTGCTAGTTCAAGTTGGGAACATTTACTAAAGACAATGAAAATCAAT